GTTTAGCTCCCAGAGGGCTGGGCCTTATTGCTCTGATTTTATTTTTTATTTTTTTTTTAAAGATCTTATTTATTTATTCATGAGAGAGAGAGAGAGAGAGAAGCAGGCTCCCAAGGAGCAGGGAGCCCGATGCGGGACTCGATCCCAGGACCCCAGGATCATGACCTGAGCCGAAGGCAGATGCTTAACCATCTGAGCCACCCAGGCACCCATATTACTCTGATTTTAGAAGTGAGGAAACGAGCTCAGAGAAGTACAGCAGCCCACCCGAGGTGCTTGGCTATGAAACCAAGCTTTGAATCCAGATCTGTCAGACTCTAACACCCGTGGCTTTTCTACCACTGTGCAAGTCACTTATTCTGTTATCAGGAAACTTAGGCATTCTTAAGGAGCTAAGATTTATAAACATGAAAACTCTAGATAACAAAGAAGGAAAATAATGTGTTACATTATGACAAATGGTCAGTCCTATTGATCAGATAAGTTACCCATCTGTTGCAAAATGTGATCCATGTATGCACCCAGGTTCTATTCTCAGTGGAATAAATTTCCATTTTTTCATAATTTCTCGAGGAAGATTCCAAATTCAAGGGAGACTGGAGTGTCTTTCAACCCCATGTGGGGTCTGGAACTCAAAAGAATCCAGACCCTCCAGTCAAGATGCTGGCTCTGCTCAGGAAGCACCCCCCCACCCCCGCCCCCGCTCTGTCAATGTCACGCCACATGCTTGATGATGGCACAGTGCTGCAGAAATGGAGGCAGGTCCAAGGGTAGCCCGTCAGCAGGTAGCAAGGGCCGTGATGCTTTGGAAGCACTGTCAGCAAGGAAAATACTTTCCATTCCATAAACGTTCAATGGGTCCCTGCTACATAGAAAGCACAATGTTGAAACATGCTAGGGCTAGGGGCTTACAGTAGAGGGAGATAGAAAACTCAACTGTGTAAGAAAAATGCCATCTGATTGGTACAAACAATACACTCTGCCAGTTCCAGAAGGGAGTGATATCACTGCATCTTCTGGAGACATCAGGGGAGGAGGCATTGGACATAGGCCTTGAAGAATGTGTGGGAGTCCAACAGACAGGGGTGGGGAAGGAAAAATAGAAGCTAAGGCTCAAGGAGGAGAATACAATCTATATAAACAGCAGTGAGTCATCCAGCGTGTCTGGATTGTAGAACATATGTGAGGGAGTAGTAATAAGACTTATTTTCTGGGCTTGCTCTTCACCTTGAACTTCAGTCTATGAAAGAGTCATCACTTCTGGCTTGTCCTCCTGAGGATACCAGACTCTCTCAGTCAGCAGGCGGCACTTGCCCCACGGGCAGGAGGCTGAGCTGCTCTCCTGTGTGTGTGCATATGAGGACCAGGGATACACGAGCAGCAGTGTTTCCTCACTGAGGAACTCGGCCTGGCCTGGAAGAACTAGCCTCGCTGGCCTCGGAAGCTGCTCTGGCCCTGTTCCTGACCTCCTGCTTTCTCTGTCCTAAACTCTGAGCCCCTGGACAGAAGGCTGGGTCTTGTAGCCAGGGGACACTGAGAAGGCCATGTCTCACAGGGGCTCTTCTCCTCTCAGGTCCCCAAAATTCCTGGGGTGGGCAGCCAACACCCCCCTTTCCCTCTGGCTCCAGGCAATGGCTACCTACCAGTTAAGCCAGAAGATGTTTGCCCATAAGATAGAGTCTGAGTGTCAGTCTGAGGTTTAAAACAAAACAAAACAAATTCTGCCTCACTGCATCTGAGACTGTTGACTTCGGGTGAAGTATCTTCTCACAACAACGCCAACACCATTAGCCTTCCTGTGAAGAGAAGTGAGCAATTTAAAAACTTGCTTTAGCTCTTCCCTCATTTCCTTGCCCTGCGAAAGCATCTGGCTCTAAACTGGGCCCCCAAATGCTCAGTGTGATGTCTGCTACCCATCACAGCTGACTGGGGAGTTGTTGGAAATGCAGATGCTGGGCTCACCCCAGACCTGATGAATCACAACCCGGGGGCTGAGAGAGAGAGAGGTCTGCGGGTTTTATTTTTCACGTATCTTCCCCAAGTGATTATTGCGCACAGCCAGGGTAGAAACCACTGCCTCCGGCAAATGTCTTGTAACTTTTGGTATTCACATTACCTAATCGTTGCATCCTAGAATTTCCAGCTGGGAAGAGTTCTGGATGTCAGCGAGCACAGCTCTTTCTAAATTCATGGGAGCGGATGCGAGTCTTGGAACTGGGGACATAGCGGGCAGTGTCTCCTCAGTGGGTCTGACTGGAGAGCAACTTCTCTTGGAGCTCAGATTGGCATCTCTTGGAGCCCAGAATGCTGGTCTAGCTCAACCTTCTCTTCATGCATTTGAAGAAAGAGTGCTAACGCGCCCAATGGCACAGAGCTCTTAGACCTGTAGGCTCACGTCCCCTGCCCATGCTGCTGCGGGCTGACCCCCTCCGTCCCCTGGCTCGGGGTGAGGATGATAGGTGCGAACAGATGAGGCACTTGTGGGAAAACCATGTCCTAGAAGTGTGTGAGGTGATGCACTCTGTTTTGACTTGGGCTTTTTCTGAGCCTTGCTTCGAGACTACAGCAACCACTGAAATCACAGAGCGTCTTAGAATCATTGAGGAAAGGAGACCTTTTTGTCTCCTGAGTCCCCAAATCTGAATTCCAGATTTGGGTACTCAGTAAGCAAAAATTCCCTACATGCACCCCACCTTGAGCGCAGCTTCCGTGGTGGACTCTGAGTGCCTGGAGCACAGGAGTCAACCTCCATCCCCAGTAGCTATCTAGGCTGCCGTGGTCACCAGGGGTGGAAGGTGTAGAAGAGAGGAGGATGAACAGCGGGAGCACGGGAGGCCACAGTGGGAGGCAAGAGGAAGCTGGGGGGGGGGGGGCGGAGAACAGAATGAGGCTGTTCTGATCCCTCACCGGCTCAGATAGCTGGCTGCACGTGCTCACCTGGCACCTGACACTCTGCCCGCTGCCAGTAAAGCGGATCCTTCATCGGATGATGCAAGGACCATGAACTTATGAAGTTATCTGCTTTACACCAGTAGGAAGTCTAAGCATGGTGCCTTGTTCCTACAAATTGTTCAGTGAATATATAAATAATGATGGGATAGTGATGTACCAAGAGTGACACAGCAGGGAACCTTTCCATCTTCAGAGGAAGACTGCTCTTACACACACTCTCCCAGGGAAACTGCCCTCTCTTCCAGAAGGCAAGCCTCTCTGGATATTTGGGGCTGCCTGTTGACCCTCATTCCTCTTCAGCCGATTAGTCAGAGACAGAGCTGTTCCTGGATAACACCCTTACACACACATGCACACTTAATCTGTTTACTTTCGAATCTTTGCCCAGAAGCCTCCAGAAACCCAGACCAGGTCCTGGGTTCCCAGGTCCAAAATTTTTGTACCAAGAAAAACCATTTTAATCTGAAACTTTTAATAGCATATAAATAAAGTGATCCAGGCTCCAAATGGCCCAGGCAAGGCCACCCTATACAGGGCTGTGACTATCACAATAGGTGATTGTTTTTAAAGTGTTTTAATGAGTCTCAAAACATCCTACATAATATCGGCCTCCACTTCAGTCCTCCTGACAGGCTCCAGTAAATAACATGAGTTGACAGGAATAAAACAGCTTGCTCAGGAGTAATTGAGTGGAATTAGAATGAGCAGACAAGAAAGAAAAATTGGTGCTTGGGTCACAAGGAACTTTTTGTTAGGAGCGCCCTGGGGGATTTGGTGGGATGTGGTCCCGCTGACTAATCACCAGTATAGAAAGTTTACAGTCTCTCCACCATGCCAACGTCTTTAATAACTTGAGAAGCACAAGAGGTGGCTGTTAATTTCAAAGACAGTTATATGAAGCTTTTATTGAGTGTGGCTCAGAGTATATAGTTAGCAGCCTGTAAGATAATGAACCCTTTAAATAGGATTTTCAAAAAAAAAACACCCCAAAACGCTGTTTTATTTTTGCTTGAGCCAAAAGAACAGCAATTTTCTCCTCTTATTTGAAAGTAGAAAAATGTATATAAAGTAGGATCTCTCCACTGCGCATGAGAAAGGCAGCTTTTTTCACTGAGGGCATCCGCCGCGCCATAGGGCCATGAGCACGTAGAGGGACGAAGCGGACGTTGTCCTGACACGCCTCTGCCAAGAAGAGTGCAGCTCGGGAAGGGAGGGGTCACATGTGTTGGATACCACCCTCGTTGCCCTGTGAACATTGGCTCCCGGACCCTCTCTCCCCACCCTTGACTGGCAAGACTGAGAAGAAGTGGGGCCCTCTCATGCCCCCAGATGTCACGAAGTGGGCAAACCAGAGACCAAACCAGTGGCTTCTTGAGTTTAAAGAGAAAAAGAACTAACCCAGGAAAGAAGCAGGATTTCACATTGCTTCCCCAGGGGCATGCTGGGGGCCAGAGCCCATGGGTGAGGAGCAAGGTGGGCAGACATTGCCTTTCCAGCCTAGAAGTGGATAAAGTGAAGTGAGCAGCTGATGGGCTTGGCATCTCCAAGCCATGGTGACGGGGCCCTCCCTTTACCCCCTGGCAACATCTATGATTTGAGCTTTTCTCAGTGTCTCTCCTGCCCCCCATCTCCTCCTCTTCTCCCTCTCTCAGTCGCCTTCCCTCCCTCGTCCCCCCACCCCACTGCACTGTATGTATAAGTGCGTGAAGAGACTGAGATAGAGAAGTGTGCCCAGCCCCCTTTGGCAATCATCTGTTGTTTCCTCACCCTATCGTTCTTGTAGTCAATATTCATTAACCCCTTGCCAAGAACAGGGTGTACAAATGTGACAAGGGCAGACAGGGCTCCTCCTTTCCCTCCCTCCACCCCCAACCCCCAGGTCAGTCCTACGGGCTCCAGCTGGCAGTGGGCAGGGACAGTGTTGGTGAAAGGGCAGGTGCTATCCCAACTGCAGGACCAGGCCTGCGGCTGGCCTTGCTGTCTTCCTCCCTCATTCCTGGTGCCTGTGTTGTACCAGCAATGGCTTTCACCAGAGGGCTCCCTGGGCGGAGGAGCAATGGGACCAAATCCTACTGACCGAGGACTAAAAAACAAAGCAAAACAAAACAAAGAAACAGGCCTTCTGTGAGCCGGTCCTGTGGCGCAAACGAAATAATGTAAACAGAAGATTAGTTAAAGGAAAATGAATTATTTCCTGCCTCAGCACTGGCAACAAGCAGAATCCAAGAACTTAATTCAGTCTTGTTGTTAGCAACATACGCTCTGGCTTCACTCTGATTTGTTCTTTTTTTTTTTTTAAGACACACGTCTGTCCCTCACATGATCTGGAGAATTTAGCCACTTCCAGCAGTTTATTCTGCAATCTGCATCAAGTCTGACCTCTTCCTGAGCCATCAGTGCTTGCTAGCCCAGGAAAACCCCTTCTAGAAGCTTCTGGGATCCGGTGAGCCCTGAAGGAAAACTCCTCACTCATTTCCAGTGGTTTGGGAACGTGCTGGGAGCTGCATCCGTGGGAGTGTGGAATGCTTAGGAAGGCGGTTTGTTGGCCACATTGCATTGGAGCCCCGTACAGATTCCGGCTGGTCCAGGGCGTATAAAGAAGCCAGGGAACAGCCTTGTTTTAGGAAAAGAGAGAACTGCTTCTTCTAAAGCTGTCAGGGAGCAAAACAGTCTCGGGGTGGGGGTCAAATTGACTTTTCCACGGGTCCTAACAGAGGCAGGGATGTTTGAACACACTTTTAAAGTTGTTATGCTCTAACTGTTAGTGATTCCCAGCCCTAGCGTCCTAGAAGCACCTGAGATTGAGCCTGAATACGAGTTGCTGTTCCCCTTGCCCCACCGCCACCACAGGAAACGCCTTGGGTGGGGCCTAGGAATCTGGATTTGTAACAAACTCCCTTGGTGACCTTCATGCAACCAGTACGGTGCCCCCACCCGTGAAGCGACGGTGAGTGCTGTCACCCAGGGGCTGCCCACATGGCAGGGACGGCAAAAGGAGCTCAGGCTGAGCTGTTCTGGCGAAGCCCCTTCTTAGGAAAGGTGGATCTTGGAGTTTGGATAAGGCGACGGGGAGGGAATGCTGAGCCCCGGGCGCTCGCGAACACCTCCTCCTTAAGGATGCCAGCTTGCCGACTCGCCGTCCCGCGTCGCTCCGCGGGCGCCCGGCGGCCCCCCGAGATGCGGTCGGGGGCGGAGGCGTGCCGGAAATGCCCGCGTGGGACAAACAGCCCCGCTGGAGGACACTGGTGAGATGCCCTGAAGCTGCCCTGTGGGTCACGCCCAGTACTAGGCTGGGGTCGAGGTGCGGGTTTCTGGCGAGCCCGAGCCTCCACAAAGTCGTCCCCTTTTGCCTCCCCTTCGGACCCCCCTCACCTGTCATGGCGGCCTGTGCCCGGCGCGCATGCGCCGACTGCCCAGGGCCCCTCGGGCTGCTCAGGGGGCCGACCGGGCTGCCCGGAGCCGTCCCTCCCGATCGCAGTGAAGCCCCGAGGGAGGCCGGAGGCGTTTCTGACCATGGGAGTAGTATCATCTCCCCCAGAAGCATTTGACTACGAATCTTCTGGGCAAAGAAGGAGCTTGCTTCCTGATGCAGAGCCCATTTTTCCACAGGGAAGGAAGTACCTTCTGAGCTCTTATCCAGAGTTTGCTCTTTTTAATGGTAAAACACAGGTAAGTGACCATTCAGAGCTTCTCTTCCGGCCAGTGTGGGGTATGGATGTCTGAAGCGGAGAGGCCACCTGTGCCTCACGCCCGGGGTGGGTCAGAGCCGTGGCTGGGATCCGCCTCGGCCTCTGGGAAGAAGGTTCTGCACCACTAGGCGCCCGGGAAGCTGGGGACAATGCAGTCCCAGTCCATCAACAACTATTTACTGAGCCCCTGCCATTGTCAGACATTCTTCTGGACTGTCGGTCTTATGAATTAACTTTTAGAAAAGTCAGGGACACACGGGCTGTATTGGAAGATTTTTCTTTAAGATTTATTTATTTTAGAGAGAGAGAGAGCTAGTGGGGGAGGGGCAGAGGGAGAGGGAGCGAGAAAAAGAGAGAGAGGGAGAGAGACAGAGAAGCAGACTCCCTCCTGAGCGAGGAGCATGCCGACACCGGGTTGATCCCACAACCCTGAGATCATGAGCTGAGCCGAAACCAAGAGATGGACGCCTTACCGACTGAGCCACCCTGGCGCCCCTGTATTGTAGTTTCGTAACTGACCGTAACACCACCCAACCAACCCCCCTTTCCATCTCTGGCACTTACCAGACTCCGCATGGTGAGTCTGGCTATCATATTTTCTGGAGGATTCAGAAGACACCTGGTTTAACACATCCCCCTCCACACCCAGCTTCCAAGAAGTTCTGTCTTTAAGGCGAACTGAGCAGGCTTACTGTCAGGAGGCTGGAGCACTAGTAACCTTATTTTGTGATGTCATGAGTGCAACAGGTTAGTGCCCTGGATGGAGTCTGGGTGTGTGGAAACTCCTCTTCTTCAGAACCGAGTGACAGTTGTAGGGATCATGTAGTCAGGGGCATCATCCCAGCACAGACAACCAATGAGGGAGCTCTGAGAGTCAGGGAAACACTCATCACTTGTGTTCTTTGTGTCCTTGACACTATCCAGGCTCCAAAAGGAGAAATGCTGAGATTGTCTGCACTTAGCCAGGGCTTGAGAGAAGACGCCTCTTCCTCCCGCATCCTGACAAGAGAGGAATGCCCTGACCCTATGGCAGCAGCACTGGGGAAAGCATCCCGAGCAAGGAGCCTCCTCTTGCTCCCTTGGTTCTAAGTCTCTCTTCCCAGTCTTCAGACTGGAGTGGGTGGTGGGCAGCTCAAACCACTCCCCTCACCCTCCCAGTCTGACTTGGGAGGAAGTGGAGCCGGAATTCTACCACTCACTTACTCATCCATCCCTCTATCCACCCAATATTTATTGAGCTGCTACTAGGGGCCTCTGGAACCCACCTGGTGACCTGCTGGTCCAAGTGCCACGTACACACTATGGGGAAGGTACTAGCGAGAGGAGACCAGGCAGGCCAGGTCAGGCCCTGGGAGATCATGTGGCAGAGCAAGGGTGAGGCAGGCAGTGCCTGGCACCAGAGTTTGGGTAGTATCCAGGAAGCCCTCAGGCAAGTGGTAGTGTATGGAGAGAAAGCTGATACCGTGGGGCTCCTAGGGGGCTATGGTCATAGTGTCCAGAAAAGCTGGTCTGCAACCCTCCTCTGAGGAGCTTCTGCCTCCCCCCTCCCCACCCCCTCCACCCCCCCAACCCCACCCCCAGCTCAGCCCTGCCCTTGTGCCCAGTTCACCTGAACATGAAGGGCAGGTACAGGTGCAAAATAGACATTTCTCCCCCACGGGGGCAGCATAGAAAGATCCAAATGCTTCGACAGTGGTTGTAGTTCATTCTCAGGATATCAGCCGGGAGATCACGGGAGCCCTGATATTTGGGCCTTGCCCTACAGGTTCCTCTGTCTGGGGGCATCCCATGGGTGCCCTTCTCACAGCTAGGAGGGTGAGGCCAGGGACAGGGGCGCATGGCCCAGGGACACCTCTCCTGAGAGCTGGTGCCAAAGGATCCCAGTCATTCCCACTGTGCAGGGCTGCATTTCACCCGGCGGGCCCAGCGCTTCCTCCTCACCATGTGCTTGTCTATCCCCGGGACTAGATGGGGGCCTTTTGGATTTCCCAAGTATCCCCTCCTTCCATTTCATAGATTCACATGGAGAAGGCTTTTTTTTTTTTTTTTAATCACAAGGTTGTTTGCAAGGCAGATTAAGCCTAGACTCAAACCGTGAAATCATAGAATACACCACAGGCTGGTACCAAATAGCTGAAGTGAAGAGTCCCTGAGCTGATCATGACATTCAGGTGCTATAGCCTTCTGATCAGGACAGGATGCAGGAAAAGCCGCCGAAAGCCTGTCTCCACGGCCTCGCGGCTTTGATCTCTGGTGAAGTGGCGATTAGTGCAGACAGCGAGCCATAGGTCTTGATTCGTCCATTCAAGCTGGTGACTGCAATTTCCCCGGAGACAGAAGCACAGAAAAGTCAGTAAGTGTTGGGCTGAGCTTTAACCAGCTGTCTCCTCAGAGAAAACCCAGCTGTAGGGGAAGATTGCTGGACCGGCCTCAAGGCAAACGTCTACACACCCTGTGCTCTTCAATCCAGGGGGAGGGCTTGTCAAGGTGTCAGCGGGCAACCGATGACTCTGGTCTTAAGAGCCCTTCAATGGGCCGCAGCCTCTCAGTACAAATGAGGATAACCACGCCCTGGTCTGAGAGGAGTTCCTTCTTCGGCCCCCAAAAATGCCATCAGCCGGGCTGCAGACAGCTCGCTCCTAAACTGGGGCCGCCGGCTTCCGTGGTGGTTGAGTCCATGTGGTGGAAATTCAAACCTCTACACCAATCCGCCCTTCATATCCCTGGGTAATTGTCTTATATTTCTAGGCAGACAGTTGAAATTTGGTCATGGTGTTATTTTGCCGCTTTGGGCCAGCAAATGTAAATGCAGTACCAGGAAAACACTGAGTCCGCAGAGTTGGGGGGCGGGTAGCGGGCACAGCTGCCTTGCGATGGGGAGCAAGAGCGGCCACAGTTCCCAACGACAGTCCCAGTTCCCCTGAGACAGTCCTGGGCCACGCCGACTGTCCCATCCAGTTTACATTCGCTTCTCTCCAACCTCCCCTGGTTTGGCGATGAATTACAGAGCCACTGGAGGGGAGGTCACTTCCCCAGTCCCAGGCTTTATTTGAAGGAATTGATGTGCACGGGCCCTTGGCTTTGGGTGAAGGAAGCGTCTGGGCTCAGGTGGGTGGGGTTAAGTCAGGACACAGGCAGAGTCAGGGGCCTAGTCTTGGGTCTTCTCTCCCCTCAGGCACCACAGGCTGAGCCCAAGACTGGGTGAGTCAGGCTGAGGGGCTCCACTGCTGAGGCATCTTGTGAAATCTGGGGGAGCAGGGCAATCTTCACACTTCCGTGCTGAAACAGAGGCAGCATCTGACAGGACCTGGGAGGTCCCACAGCCCAGGGGTGGGCTTGTCTCACCAGAGCTGAACTGAGCACAAGGTATTACGAGGACTGCATGGATCATACAAGTTCAGATGATATAAAGATGTCTGAGAGTTGTACATTTTAGCTATGTCTTAGGACAAAGATAACACAGAAGGAGAACTCAGAGGTAGGGAAGCTCATGGTGGTAGAGAAAAATGTATCCATGAGGATACTGGCCCATATGTTCTGGAGCCCGCAGAAGGTTCCTCCCGGGCTTCAGGTCTCTCTGTTCAAATCCTGTCCCTCTACTCATTAGCTGTCTGACCTTGGCAAAGTTCCTTAACCTCTCTTAGTTTCCCTGTCCATCACATGGAGAAGATAAGAGACCTGCCTCCCTGAGCTGTCATGAGGTTTAAGATAGATAGTATAAGTATGGTGGTATTTGTGCAGCTCACTAAAAAGTCTTACCTTCCTCCTTTTAGGCACATGGTGAGACTGCATTTCCCTAGCCCCTTAAAGTTGGACTTACCCATGTGACTTGCTTTGGCCGATGAAATGAGAGTAGAAGGTTGTGTCACAGGGCTCCAGCTCCCTCCCTCCCCGGGGATGAGCACAGGGCTCCTAGGCGAGTGCCCAGGGGAGGCTCTGACAGCAGTGCAGGGTCCGGTAGGCATGCAGGCAAGGGCCAAGAGGTGCTGCAATGTAGGTGTTCATGTTAACATGCCTCACTGATAACATCAAACTGGGGATGCCTGAGAACACTGGCTCACCCGTGAAATGGGTACTTTGTTAAGACCTGACGCAAAGGCTGTGGTCTTCTTCCACCCCAGAGCCCCTCTCACTTCTGGACAGCTAGTACTTTGTGATAGGCCCTCCCTTTCTAGAACCTCCCTTGGGGGTCCTTCTCTCCCCTCCCAGACGGCAAGCTCTCCCAGGGCAGGAGATTCATCTTTGCCTCCCTCACAGAACCTAACCATACTCGTGTTTCGGGGGTGCTCAAGCAATACTGGTTGGACCAGCGAATGAAAGGCCATGAAATGCATGCACCTAATTCTCCAGCTTGACAGCAACTAGCGAAACTTGAAGCCTGAACTTACCAAGGAAATTCATAAAACGAATTCATGAAACACCCTGGCCCTTTACGGGTCCAGGGAATGCTGGCGATCTTTATGTGCTCTTTATGTGCATTGTGAATTGACCGGTTTCTTAAAAATCCCCTCCTAACCACGATTTTTCTGAGGTAGAACCACTTTATTTTATTTTATTTTATTTTATTTTTAAGATTTTATTTATTTATTTGACAGGGAGAGAGAGCACAAGCAGGGGGAGCTGCAGGCAGAGGGAGAGGGAGAAGCAGGCTCCCCGCCGAGCGGGGGGATCCCAATGTGGGGCTCGGTCCCAGGCCCCTGGAATCACAACCCAAGCCAAGGGCAGACGCTTGACCGAATGAGCCACCCAGGTGCCCCTAGAGTCACTTTATTATGTAATGAAGGTGTGAGAAGGTAAGAGGCCCAAGGGAGTTTTTACATTACTGGAAAAGCTTTAGACTCATGTTGAAAGATTGGTTTAGAGCCCCAAGTCGACATGCTCCTTCTGGGGACCCACTGGGCCACAGAGCAAGGAGCGCCGGTCCTCAGCTGCCATGTTGGGTCTGCATGGCTTCCAGGGGAGTTGGATACTTTTTAATGAGACATATTTCCCCTATTTAACCACACATTCCCTACACAGATGGTATTTATGCTCAGGAGATGACTCACACTCTTTGTCAGCATACCTTTCTATATTAAATACCCCATCAAGTTCATGCTCACTGGGCTTCAGAGTGGGCTGGGCGGTATTAAAAGATCCTCTTCTTTCTCTCTAGGAGGTGTGTGGCTTTTGGAATTTACCCCCAAGTGCCCCTTTCTGTAGACTGTGACTTCGTGGGACTTCTCTGTTTCACATCTGGGCTTAGAGCCTAACTCTACCACTTAACTAGCTATGTGGTCTTGAGATTCTTACTGTCTCTGTGCCTCAATTTAATTACTTATAAAATGAGAACAGTATTACTGATCCCCTAATGTTGCTGGGAAAATCAAATGGGGTTGTGGCACGGGAAAAAGATTGAAGCAAATATTTTTTGAATGAATAAGTGACTAAAGCAATAATAGAACTATAAAAAATTATCAACCAACCCATCGTGTATGACTACCGTTTACGTATCCGAGAAACAGTTCTAGGTTCTTGAGCACACACTATCTTAGGGTAAGTGAAGGGACGGGGATGTGAACCTACATCTCATGGGCATCCAAGGTCATGCTTTTAACTCCTGCCTGCATTGCCTCTTCCACACTTGTAATAAACTCTTTTGTCACTAGAGACTCCCTGGGATAGAATGACGAGCTTCTTTAACTGTGGCTTCCTTTACTCTAATGTAACTGAGATTCTCATACTTTTATAATTTACTGAGTTTAAGAGGAAAATATTTCTATGACATGTATTGGCATGAACAAAGATCTTGGTGTCTACATTAAGTAATCAATGCCAAATATTGGAATCAAGTACCTAGCATCTGTTACCTGTTACTCTGAGCAAAGAGTACATTAGGCTTATGCCCCAGAAATAACTTTCCTGAGAGTGGGGACAGGAACTAGTCATTCACTACTTACTTTCTGGTTGGTGAAACTGAAGTACATCACGACAACTCTACACTTTGGGCAGATAGTGGTCTTCCCTTTCCAGTTGCCAGAAAGAGTTTCATTTTTCCTTGACACCGTGCTTTCCTGGGTTCTGGTAACTTTCAATGACTTTGAATTCCTCCAGCGGCACTATAAAAGAGTGTACAAATGTTTGCTCAGAACAATGCTGGATTCTGTGTGGTTGCTTCAAACAATAGTGGTCCTGACCTTCGTCATAGAATCAACATAGGAACTATCATTTACTATTAGATTCCTATGTTCTAGGGGCTATGCGAGTCACTTCATGTATATTATTAAAGTCAGGGTAGGCCAGTTTATGCTGTAATAACAAAGACCACCAAAGTCTTAGTAGCTAATAATAAGTTTACTTCTTGATCTCATTAAATGTCTACTGCAGGTTGGCGAGGGGGCTCCGTTCCACATTTCTTCACATGTCAACCTGGAATAAAAGAACTTCTACCTACTCCATCTATTGCCTTGCTCGTTGCCATGGCAGGGGGCTCACGACAGTGTCTTATACTGGCTATTAAATGCTTCTGCACAGAGCAACACAGAGTCCTTCTACTCTCATTTCACCAGCCAAAGCAAGTCACACGGGTAAGTCCAACTTCAAGGGGCTAGGGAAATGCAGTCTCACCATGTGCCTAAAAGGAGGAAGGTAAGACTTTTTAGTGAGCTGCACAAATACCACCATACTTATACTATCTATCTTAAACCTCATGACAGCTCAGGGAGGCAGGTCTCTTATCTTCTCCATGTGATGGACAGGGAAACTAAGAGAGGTTAAGGAACTTTGCCAAGGTCAGACAGCTAATGAGTAGAGGGACAGGATTTGAACAGAGAGACCTGAAGCCCGGGAGGAACCTTCTGCGGGCTCCAGAACATATGGGCCAGTATCCTCATGGATACATTTTTCTCTACCACCATGAGCTTCCCTACCTCTGAGTTCTCCTTCTGTGTTATCTTTGTCCTAAGACATAGCTAAAATGTACTACGACTCTCAGACATCTTTTTTTTTTTAAAGATTTATTTATTTATTTATTTATTTGAGAGAGAGAGTGAGAGAGAGAAAGAGCACAAGAGGGGGGAGCGGGAGAGGGAGAAGCAGACTCCCTGCTGAGCAGGGAGCCTCTCAGACATCTTTATATCATCCGAACTTGTATGATCCATGCAGGCCTCGTAATACCTTGTGCTCAGTTCAGCTCTGGTGAGACAAGCCCGTGAGTAGAGTCCAAGAGAAATGGTTCCTTGTGCCAAAGGTAACCTTAGCAGGTCATCTCCAGATACCTCACGTTATAGATAAGAAGGGTCTTGCCTTTTATCCAAAGCCCATGACCCGACTTATAATTCAGACTGCTTTGATTGGTGGGACTTGGCCCAGCTATGTCTATGCATGATGTCATATTTTAAAAAGAAGAAAAAGGCATGGAGTGTAGCCCTGGTGGGCAGGCTATGATGTGCTTGAACTTGATTGCAGCTGTAACTGGGGATTAGGCCAGAGTGGAGGGTTTAGTATCCTCAGAGTCTGAAATCTCGCAGAATCCCACCTCTAGAATTCTTGCACACATTATCAGAAAATCTCCCTGCACTTTCTTAACTTTGCCATCCTGAGATCTTAAAGAAAACACTAATTGTATGTTTGGAAATCCAGAAAAGGAAAGGGGGTGAAGGACACTGAGACCAGCCACTCTAGCCCTGGCTAAGCCTCTCTTGGCGTAGGCCCCAGGGATGAGCTTGCCTCTGTGGATTCCCAGCCGGGAAGTACCACCCTGGTTTATTTTCAGAGGTGGAAACTCAAGCAACAATTATCTCCTGTCACAGCAAATTAAAAGCCCAGGCTCAGCCATCCCAGGAACAGGGAGAGCAGAGCCCGCGGCCAGCAAAGGGCCATAATGACAGGCCAAGGCTGGTGCATTTCCTTTAAAGGCATGAGCCACTCAAGAAACACACAAAATAAACAGAGACATAAAAGTCCATAGCAAAGGCCCACAAGTGAGAGCAAGAGTCTGTGCCAAGATCAGAGAGTGTATTTTGATTCCGTGGGGGATCAAGGATTGTGGCAGCAAGAAGGGCTCAGTGGAGGATGAGTTTTGGTTTGTGTTTGAGATAATGGGGAAAGCTATTGCGCATAACACTGCAGAGGGTAGGGATGAGTGGCCCTGCCTGTCACACACACACCCACACACAGGAATGCATGTTCTCACATATGCATGCTCACACGCTCACACGCTCACACACACACGCACACATACTCATCACTATGGCCTCAAGCATGCTGCCACTCACTTCTGTTAGAATCTCCGTCCCTGCCTGGACTCCTGCCTACCTTGCCCTGGACAGGGCAGCCTGGTGGCCAACGTTTCTGCTTGGAATCCTTCTTATCTCTTATGTTCGGTGCCCTGCCTTATTGCCAGGAACCTAAGCAAAACTCCCCTCTTTGAAGTCACCTCCAGGACTGGGGCTTCTGACCTCCATCACCCTCCCCTTGCAACTCCTTTCTGGAACTGCGTCTGCTGCTTTATGTCAGTGAGGACTTGTTATGTCAGGTTGTTGGAAGTGAGTTTGGGCTTTGTTATGGTATAAGATCCACAGAAGTAGAGATTTCTTCTTTTTCCTTATATTTGTGCCTCGTATGTTTATCTTTCAAAAAGTGTTTTCACATCCATCATCTAATTTTGTCATCAGTATTGCCTGGTGAGGTAAGTGGGTGGGGAAAATCATTCCAAGCACCAATGGGAACGTATATGGCGAGGTGGCTAAGAACTTGGGCTTTGGCTGGGCACGTTGCTGATCTCTGTAAGCCCCAACTCTCTCATCTCTAAAACAGGGATAAAAATAGTTTCTGCCCATAGGTTATTTTTAAGGATTAAATGAGCTAACATGGGTAACATGCTTACCTCACGCAGAGAAAATGCCCGGTAAAATTGTCATTATTTCAATAGTGATGGAGGTTGGGCTCAGAGAAGTTAATATCCAAGGAGTGGCAGAGTGGTGGGAGAAGCAGAGGGGTTGGAGGCACTGGATTCTGGTTCCATTTGCCATGTGTCCTTGGGCAAATGGCTTTGCTTCTCTGATCCTCAGCTTCTCCATCTCTTAAATAGGAATAATACATCGTATATCACACATGTCACATCATTAATCAAAAGTACTTTTGAAAGCATATTGTAAAGTGTGCCCAAAAAGTTCATTTACTAATCCACGTAAATTCAGGCAGCAGGTCAGCACTGGAGCCACATTTCCTCATCCCTAGTGTCCTTTCGAGCGGTCTGTGCTTTCCTCCAGAGCCCCCTCGGGGCCTCCATAAATGCTATTGACCACCTGTGGGCTGGACAAGCGGGCTGCATACCACAGCTCTGGGCACCCAGCATTAAGCAGCAGAGGTCCCCAGCCTGCCACCCCTGCCTGTCTCCTGCCTGCTCTCCACGGACATTGGGAGTGTGCAGAGAAAGCAGAGCTCAGAAACCAAACTCATTTCAGCTGTTCCTGACTCCTCTGCCTTACTGCTGCTGTTGGCCAAGAGAACAAGAAGGAGTATGAGAGAGATGGAGGGAAATAGATCCAAGTACATTAGGGACAGGGCCACCAGGACTCAGCTTAAGAAAGGGGAGGGAGGGACCTTAGAATCTACACAGCCACCTGCCCAGGTTGCAAAGTAGACCTCGCAGGTGGCTTGTGACTCACATTATCCATCTCACTTTACTTAAAGATGAGCTGATGAGCTGATGAGCAGGTGAATGTTTTACTAGCATTGTTCCCATTGGCCCGCAGATTAATTTCTCTGAAGCCAGCCTCTTTTTTGGCTTGCAGGGAGAATGTGGTCTGCTCTCCGCTGCATGAAGTCACTTCAGTCTTCCCACTTGTTCTTGGGCAAATTCAGGCCAGGAGCTGCCACATGACCTGAAAAGAACACCATGGCTCTTGCTCAGAGAACAGCTTGCTTTGGATGTTTCGCGTTAGTTGTGAAGTTGTTCTGGAATCATCTCAAACCCTTCAGAACAAAGTTCCTTTGAAACGTTCAAGTTGATCCAGGCAGGGTCAGGGCTGGAGTCCTCAGTTAAGCCTATCCTGAAATACCTTGTTTTCATCCTCCCTGTGTCTGCATGCCCTTTTCTAAGCAATATTTGCTCCAGAACAATTAAGAGGTTTCTGAGATGCTGATTGGATGATGAAGAGGCAAGCATGCTCTCACCATGTGGCCAAACGGACTGGAGGGGGTCAAGATGCATAGTTTTGGTCCCAAGCTTTACTGCAGACTCCCAACTTGACATTGGGAATATTCCCAAGACCCTCTATTAGGCATATATGGTTTGGTCCTTGATTGGTTAGAAAGATGAGGTGGGAACCAGTGAGACTCTGAGCCTGAGCCCCAGATATAAGATCATACCATGTCCATTTATTTAAAGAATTACATGTACCAGAAGAGTAGGTCTTCGTGAATTCATCAGGTTCATAGTTCCAACTTTAGTCAAAAGGACTACAAAATGGTGGAGGATCAAAAGTAATTTAAATGAGAAAGATGATGTTAAGAGTACCTTTTGTACCTGACTTCAGTATCTATGCAATTTTATAGACACTTTCCTAGTGTCTTATTTAAGGACTCAGTTATCTATTTCTGCACAACAATCTATCTCCAAATTTAGTAGCTTAAAACAAAAATCATATATTTGTTTAGAAGTCTGTAATTGGGGCACCTGGGTGGCTCAGTTGGTTAAGTGTTTGCCTTCGGCCCAGATCGTGATCCCAGGGTCCTGGGATCAAGCCCTGCATCGGGCTCCCTGCTCAGCAGGAAGCCTGCTTCTCCCTCTCCCATTCCCCCTGCTTGTGTTCCCTCTCTCGCTGTGTCTCTCTCTGTCAAATAAATAAATAAAATCTTTAAAATAAAAAAAAGTCTGTAATTGGGCCAGGCTTAATCAGGCAGTTCTTCTGCTGGTCTCACTGGGGTCATGTGTGCTGTAGTGAGCTGCAAGTGAGGGGTTGGGGAGCAAAGAAATGACAACTCAGGGGCTGCCTGGTCCAGCTGTCCAGTCCCACATCTGGTGCTTCTGTGGTGATGGCTTGAGTCACCGGAATGATTGGAGTTCTCTCTCCATGTGGTTGCTCATCTTCAAGGAGACCAGCCTGGGCTTCCTTACATGGGAATCACAGAGCACCAAGAAGGGGAGAACAGGCACTCAAGGTCTAAGGTCACTTCTGCCACATACTGTTGATCAAAACAAGTCACACAGCCAGCCCAGCTTCAAGGGGGAGGGCAAATAGGGTCCACCTTTTATTGGAAGGGAGAAGTTCACATTGCAAAGAAGCATGCACCTAGGGATGGAGGCCATCCTTAGAATCTACCACAGTCACTAAAGCTGTCTTTATAAATGATTCCTCTCACCCTTTAGGAATGGCCTGCCCCTTAGTGGCAAGGACAGATGGGGACCCCAGCTCTGCCTTTCTCTGGCTGAGTGAACTGAGGTAAATCATTTAAGTGGGAATATAGAATGATCATTTATGGGATCCCGGCTCTGTATGAGCCCTGTACATACGTCATCCTATCTAACACTCAAAACAACTTTTGCATAAGTTTTATTCACATTTTATTACTAAGAAAGCTG